TTTCTGATCAATGTTCCATACCCTCATCCGCTGATATGTCCGCCAGCACCAACGGTTGGGCAAACACCACCAGGAAACCCTAAAGTTAGACTTTTCTCTGCAATTCTATAATAAAGTTCGTCGAGTGTTGCACCAGCCTGAACCCATGCAGATTTCTGCTCAACATTAACGTTTATTTTCCGCAGGTTGACAAGATCAACGATGACAAATGGGACTTCTGACGTGTAAGAAAGACCTTCATAGTGGCCACCACTTCAAACCCATATTTCCATTCCATTTTCTTTGGCGCAATATATGACAGGTTGAATATGGGATTCATGCACAGGAGTAATAATGACTAATGGTTTAGGTGTTGTTTCTGAACCGAAACGAAGGTTTTGTATGGAGAAATTGAGAATGGATGAATATGAACTGTTTTTTGNTTCTGAACCGAAACGAAGGTTTTGTATGGAGAATTTGAGGATGTATTAATATGAACTGTTTTTTGTTGTATAAACGTTATTGGAGATTGAGTTGTGATTGTTAGATTGAAGGGACATACATTGAAGAAAATTATCATGTCATGAACACAAAAAAAGGACATCAAAAGCAAATAGAACCAAACAAATACTTGGAATCTTCATCTCTTGTTAAGGTTGAATAATTTGTGAAAATTATATATTTTTCTGAAAATCAAAACTTTGACCACATATTTGTTCCGCAGCGTATTGAACAAAAAAAATTAATCCTTCATTTTTTTTTACTAAGAATTTCTGATTTAATATTGATCTGCGAGATCGTTAGAAATAATTATTGCTTCATTGTAAACGAAATACAAGTCGACATGAGATATTTCCGCATGAATTGTTAGCTAATAATATACAAGAAAGTCAACTATTTTGGCTCAAAAAAATCCCAAGCTATTTTTAATGTAATAGAATTCTTCCTAAGCTGTTTCATTGCAGTTAAGCTCTGTTTGTTTGAACTAAATGTGTGTGTGTCAAAATTTTTTATGAAAAAATGTGTTTTTTCATCTAATTTTCTATTTTTTTGCTGTTTGATTGACATTTTTTTACGAGAATTATTTTCTATTTTTTGGTCATGATCATATTTTCTTTGAAAACAAGGAAAATATTTTCTTTGGGGAGATGTGGTTTTTATTTTTTAGGTAATTCGCTCTCTTTCTCTCTCTAATCTACCTACTAATAAAAATATGGACAAGTATGATAGGCCTGTTTGGGCTCCTTTTTTGTGTATTATTCATTTTGAAATAGTAGATTGATAGAGAATACATTAATAAAAATGAAGAAAAAGTTTTTGGATGGCATATAATATTATTTTATTGACGAATGTGTAGTTGAAAAGAAGAGAAAAATATATTTTAAAAACATGGAGATCAAACAATGGCAATTGATGAGTATAAATGTAGGAACGCCCAAACTCGACCTTGTTGGACCCGACCTCGGCCCACTCTCATTGGGCTAGATCCAAGGTCGAACTCGACCTCGACCTTGTTGGACCCGACCTCGTCCCCCTCGACCTCAATGGCCCGACCTTAGCCCACTATTGTTGGGCCATTTCCGAGGTCGGGCCACATTAGAAGTCGGGTTCAATAATTAGGTCAGGTCTGTAGTCCTAACTCATATATCCCCTTGGACCTTACCACACGTTTGCTAGGAATGCTAGTCCTACTTAAACACAAACTCCTAACTTATTACAAATTTAACCCTAACTCAAATTGTGCAGCTCTAACATAACACAAACACCTAAAATATCTAGAACTACAGGAAGTTAAGTCCTTCCAGGATTCACCTTCCAACATCTATAAATACATAATCTAGCCTCATTATTCAGATAAGTTTTTACAACATTCAGCATAAGTTTCTCTTGAGCACTTGTCTGACTTAAGCACCGGAGGGGCGACGAGAACACACCTCGACGCCTTTATTTTAGGTATTGAAGATCGGATCGCGCGTAGTTCTTACATCCAGTTCGAGTTTACCCAGGTACGATTTTTGGTAGCATCATTGGCTCCGCATGTGGGAAACGCTACCAAAAGCCATGGTTAACTCACGTTTAGGACATCTTCCAGCAAGCTCATCCGCTCCTAACCAACTGCTGCAGGAGGATCCGAGTCAGACGAGGCCGAGTTGTCTAACAGTACGTTAATGGCACTGAGATACCATGAGTTGGCGGATCAGCGCAAAATTGGCAAATAATGATTGATCTTTCCTAAATGGGGTCTTTTTTGACACGTTTTGGTATTTTGGCCATAACTTTGGCTACGGTTCTCAGAATCATGCCCATAACCCCAATTTGGAAAGCTCTTTTCGGCGCGTACGTCGTGCTCACCCAGCTATGCTCAATGTGCATCGATTTCGAGGCTAAATTCAGCTATTTTCCCTTGTGAATCATCAATTTAAGTTAATTTTTGCCATTTTTAATAATATTTCAATTTCCTTTTTTTACATAGATTACGATATCAAATTAAACAAAATTTTTGGGATCTTATTTCTGTCATTACGAATNTTGCTATTTTTAGTAATATTTCAATTTCCTTTTTGACATAGATTACGATCTCAAATTAATCTAGATTTTTGGGAGCTTATTTCCATCATTACGTATTTCCTTTTGGTATGAATAATAGGATTTTGTTATTTTTGGTAAAATTCCGACAATTATTATTTTCTAGCTATTTAACCCGGCTTGTGGGTTATTTTCGTCCAATTGTTGAATAATAAAGATTTTCTCGTTTTTCTTAGTGTTATTCTCTTGTGTTCTTCCATGTTATTGTCTATTAGTTCCAGCCTACAGAATAATTACTATTCTGCCCGACGTCACCAACCCCCTATTGGAGATCTCCTGGTTCCTCAGGAGGTATCATCAGGAGAACCACAACATCCACCAGCAACAATCGCTCCCGAAGCATTTGAGGAACTTTGCCAACAAGTGGCCACGTTAACTCAGCTACTACAGAGAAATACACCCCGAGTACCATCACCGTAGAGTGGATTTATGGCGGATGCTTAGGCTCCAGGCCCCAGTCACAGTGACGTCGGAACCTCGGGCGTACCTTACGTACCCCTGGGTTGAAGATTAGTTACAACAGACTCTGCCGATCTTGTAAGGATTATTCAGGAGGGAATCACAACCGGAATACTTCATAAATCCCGTGCAGTAACAAGATTTATCCGTAACGCACCTTTCACCAATGAAGTTTTGTCATACCCCCTATCGGATCGGTTCAAGTTCCATCGGGTGAAAGAGTATGATGGGACAACCGACCCCATTAACCATCTCAACATATACACGGATATTATGAACCTACAGGTCGTACCCGACACTGTAATGTGCAAAGCCTTTCCTCAGACACTTATCAAAGCAGCTAGGGATTGGTTCTCTACGTTAGAGCCCAACTCTATATCTTCCTTTTCAGACTTGGCTGATAAGTTCTCCGTGTTCTTTGCAAGTAGTAAGCGCATCCAGAAGACAGCCGCATCACTTATGTAGATGCATCAAGGACCCCAGTGAGACACTTCGCAATTTCATGACAAAGTTTAATAAGGAAAGACTTATGATCCCTGATCTACATATCACTGATGCAGTCTCTGCTCTAACATATGCCGTAAGATGTGAAGCATTTAAGATGTCTAAGATGTCTCTGTCAAAGACCCCTCCCAAGTCGATAACCGACCTACTTACACAAGCTGAGAAATATATCAAAATGGATGAGACCATGTTCCCTAAGAGAGATACCCCGCCATCAAGTAAGCCCGAACTTGAAAGGCCGCGTGAGTCTAACATTCGTCGGGATTCTTTTCGGGGTGAGCCAAGGCAAGACCCCTCTCCGACATCTTCTACCCCGATTGAACACCACAAGGTCTAACATTTTGATGGAAATCAAAGACCTTAAAGAGTTGAAGTGGCCTCCTAGACTGTGGCCTCCTCCCAAAGCCCATGACAAAAGCAAGTACTGCGATTTTCATCAAGATCGTGGACACACGACCTAAGAATGCTTCATTCTGAAGTGGGAAATGGAGGCTCTCATCAAGAGGGGTTTCCTGGCCACTTACGTGAATCAAGACAAGCATCAGTGGAGCAGCTAAAATAAAGGTAAGGTTCCTGAAGATAGGGAAGATAAGCAACCAACTGCAGGTACTATCAATATCATTGTCGAAGGGACGGCCTCGGAAGGGGACTCTAGCAGAGGGCATGTCTTTTCTTCATGATGACGCCTTGGTTATATCGGTAATCATTGCTAATTTTGAGGTGAGGAGAATTCTGGTAGATAATGGAAGCGCAGCTAACGTGTTGTCACATGAGGCTTTTGTCCAGATGGGCATTTCAGCTGAGCAGCTCAAGTCGGTCAAAACCCTCATTCAGGGGTTCCGAGACGGTATCATTATTCCAGAAGGCATTGTAGGGTTGCCTCTCACCTTGGGATCAGAAGGGAAGTAGGAAACGCAAATCACAACTTTTCAAGTAGTTCG